TAAGTACATAGAACAATGGACTTTCATCTACCTTATCTATGGGATAGGATCCCAGCACAGGCAGTGATGTGTCAGAGTCACCTTCAGGGCTCCTCTCCTGCCTCCTCTGTCTAATCCCCAGATTCTGATGTGCATCCCTGTCCTACAAGAGGCAGCATGGCATGAGGTCAGAACACCAGTTCTGGAGCCAGATTGTCTGGGTTCATGGCCTGCCATTTACTAGCCATGTGACTTTGGCAGATTTCTTAGTCTCTCTTGACTCACTTTCCTCATATGTAAAATGGGAATAGCGCCTATCTCAGAGGGTTGCTGTGCGGAATGAAGGTATTGATACATGTAAACTTAGAACAGTGTGGGTACAAAATAAACACAATATAAATGTTCATATTCTTATTTTTAAAATCCTTTCTCTATCGAGTCACTGTTTTTGGGAGGATGCCTTATTCTTTAAGCAGTTGAAGAAAAAATGATTAAGAATAACTTCAGAGTAATGCGCGTCTCAAGGGTTAATGCCAGGCTGCTCCCAGAGTGGTCTCTCTCAGTGTCTAGGAATTTTAACATTTTATGAAAATGATCTATATGCTTAAAAATGTATTTAACTTTTCCCTTGGCTGCCTTCTAGGGCCAGAGGAAGATCTTCCAAGGAAGATGGAATACTTGGAATTTGTTTGTCATGCACCTTCTGAGTATTTCAAGTCACGGTCATCACCATTTCCCACAGTTCCCACCAGACCAGAAAAGGGCTACATATGGACTCATGTTGGGCCTACTCCTGCAATAACGATTAAGGAAACAGTTGCCAACCATTTGTAGTTCACAGATTAAAACTGGATTTCCAGGCTTGGTGTGGTGGCTCACACCTGTAGTTCCAGCTGTCACACCACTGCTCTCCAGGCTAGGCAACAGAGTGAGATTCCATCTCTTAAGAAAACCATAAAAAACTAGATTTCCAATTCTCTTATATTCTTAGTACCATGAGATATGTCACAGGTATCTTTAAATGAAATTCGTAGCTGGAAATATGACTAAAAAGTTTTTCTCCTACTACCTAGTAATCATTAGATTGCTTATTACTAGTCACTTAGAAAATTAAAAGGAATAGGGCCAGGCACAGTGGCTAATGCCTATAATCCCAGCACTTTGGGAGGACAAGGTAGTTGGATCACCTGAGGTCAGGAGTTCAAGACAAGCCTGTCCAACATGGCAAAATCCCTTCTCTACTAAAAATACAAAAATTAGCCAAGTGTGAGGCTGAGGCAGAAGAATCACTTGAACCCAAGAGGCTGAAAGTGCTCCACTGCACTCCAGCCTGGGCAACAGAGTGAAAAAACAACAGCCTGGGGAAAGTGGCTCACACCTGTAATCCCAGCACTTTGGGAGGCTGAGGCAGGTGGATCACAAGGCCAGGAGTTTGAGACCAGCCTGGCCAGTATGGTGAAACCCTGTCTCTACTAAAAATACAAAAAGTAGCCAAGCGTAGTGGCGGGCACCTGTAATCCCAGTTACTCGGGAGGCTGAGGCAGGAGAATAGCTTGAACCCAGGAGGCGGAGGTTGCAGTGAGCCAAGATTGCGTCACTGTACTCCAGCCTGGTCGACAGAGCAAGACTCTGTCTCAAAAAAATAAAAACAAAAACAAAAAATAAAATGGATAGAATAGAATGAAATATATTTTGAAGTTAAATTATATTCTATATGTGTATCTTCCCAGGCAAAAGCTGTAATTTCCAGAGACCATTAGGATCAGGTAGTGTCTATTTTTCTCTATTATTTATTTCTAGTAACTCGTAAAATAGATTGTATTTTTCTATAAGAACAAAATATTAATTAAGGTATAGATGACTGACCAAGGGCTTAATCAAATAAAATGACTAACAGTATCTATCATAAAGCCACACAAGCCTTATGTTCTCATCTCAAAAATGCTGTGGCAGCTTTTTAGTGCTTTAACCATAAGAAAAGTGATGGATTATTTTATTAGCCCAGACTTTTTAAAACTTTCATCCAGGCAGGGTGCAGTGGCTCACACCTGAATCCCAACACTTTGGGAGGCCTAGGTGGATGGATCACTTGAAGTCAGGAGCTCAAGACCAACCTGGCCAACCTTGTGAAACCCTCTTTCTACTAAAAATACAAAAATTATCTGGGTGTTGTGGCACATGCCTGTAATCCCAGCTACTTGGGAGGCTGAGGCTGGAGAGTTGCTTGAACTCGGAAGGTGGAGATTGCAGTAAGCCGAGATCATGCAACTGCACTCCTGCCTGGGTGATAGAGCAAGACTCTGTCTCAAAAAAAAAAAAGTCTTTCATCTAATCCTTCTGTAGCAAACAGGCATTCAGAACCATTCCA